GAGATTTGGGGGTGGGGTTTCAAGAGGGGAGGGGCTACAGTGGGGGTGTCCTGCCGTAGGGCCCATCCTCCGGAGCAGCCATCTTCTCCAGGGGGAACTGATCTCTGCGTTCTGGAGATCGGAGGCAATCCCGGGCGATCTCCAGGCCCTGCCTGAAGGCTGGCAACCCCAGTGTGGCGCCTGAAAGACGAACAACATCTATTCCACAAAGTTTGAGTCCAGTGGCACCTTTAAGAGCAACAAAAGTTGCATTCTGGGCTTAAGCTTCAGATGCCTCACTGTAGACGAATTTACAGAAAATGACTGTGTATGTGTGTGGGGGGGGAAGCGGTCGAGGCAGACAAAAACTTGGTGTGGAACCTGTCCGAAGTCTTTCAGGTGTAATTCTCTGTGTGAGGGACTAGAAGGGATGGGGCAACTCTGGGATGGGAAGGAGAGCTCCGACGTTGAAACTGATGGTCACGGAAGTCCCAGAATTTATTTATTTATTATTATTTATTAGTTCAGTGTATACCCTCCCCGCCGAGGCAGGCTCCGGGTGGCTTACAAAAGGATAAAACATAAATAGACAATTGTAAACGTCGATAAGACCAGTTTGAAACAATCCAGAGTCATAAAGTGCTAGCTAGATATAGATAAATACTTAAAGATGGCAGTATGTTCATATTAATATGTTCTACCATCTGTTGTGATACTCAGCTCCTTGATCATTATCATATTTATATGCAGCAGGTACTGGCCAGGGAGCAGGGCTCTATAAGGCTCATTCGTTGAAATTAGTGATGTTAGCGATGGTGTGCTTGGTGGTGGCAGTGGCTCCTTAACCAAAGCCCTGGTGGAAGAGCTCCGTCTCGCAGACCCTGCGGAACTGCAGCAGGTCCCGCAGGTCCCTGATCTCTGGGCCCCCGGCAAACATCTGGTGCGTCCTTTGCGACCCTTGGTTTCCACTCTTTCTGTTTCCTTTGAGGGCTGAGACACTTGTATCAGCCACCTCCTATTGCACAGCTGATAAAACAGAAATCCTTCCCTTTGCCACCGTTTTCCTCTTATCTTCTGCTGTGGAACGGCTCGGCTGCGGAAGTCAGAGGGGCTCCCGTGGTTCTGTCGTTTAAGGGGGCTCTTCTGTAAAGATAATGGTGGTATTGGTGGTGGGAAGTGCTGTCACGTCACAGGCGACTTCTGGTGACCCCGTAGGGTTTTCAAGGCAAGAGACGTTCAGAGGTGACTTTGCTACTGCCTGCCTCTGCATAGCAACCCTGGACTTCCGTAGCTGTCTCTCATCCAGGTATTTATTGGGATATTTGCTTAATATAGCAGAGTTTTGCCCAGTGTTAAAAGCGTAATACTGAGTGCAGTAAATTAATCTCCCAATAAGTATATTGCAAAAAAATGTAAACTTGTATCCATTCAGGTAGATCTGGTTCAAATTCAGGTTGCAGTCGAAATGAGAGGGGGGGCCCTTGAAAGCCAGTCGGTGCTCATTTCCATTTCCAAGCCAAAGAGCCAGCGCTGTCCGAAGACGTTTCCGTGGTCACGTGGCCGGCGTGACTAGACGCCTAGGCGCACGGAACGCTGTTACCTTCCCACCAAAGTGGTACCTCTTTAACTACTTGCAGTTTCTTGCTTTCGAACTGCTAGGTTGGCAGGAGCTGGGGCCGGAGACGGGAGCTCACTCCGTCACGCGGCACTGAGGTCTCGAACTTCCGAACTACAGATCTTCCAGTCTGCAGCTCAGAGTCTTAACCCCTGAGCCACTGCGGCTCCTAATCCTAATCTAAAGAGTACTTTCCCTATCACAGATCACCAGCTTGTCCAGCATCACGTCTGTGGGAGTATGAGGGCTTTGTCTCTACACAAGAGACGTGTGTCTCCATGGAAGGCCATGTTGAGAGAGGGAGAGGACAAAGTGAGAGAGGAGGAGGCGTCAGAGGGCAGCTCCCCGGTTAAGACTGAGGTATCCCATTCAAGGAGATAGCACCTTTACACCGTTCGAGTGATGTGGCGCCCCCCCCCCAATGTCCAGGCATGGCGAGTCGCTCACTCCAAGAGTATTAACCTGGGCAGAATCTGCTTAGCTTCCAAGAGTTGGCAAGATCAGGCTAGCCTGGGCCATCTGGGTCAAGGCGGCAGACGTCCAGTGGTGGTTCGCCATTGCCTGCCTCTGTGTAGCAGCCCTGGGCTTCCTCGGTGGTCTCCCATCCAAGTCCTAACCACGGCCGACCCTGCTTAGCTTCTGAGATCTGATGAGACTGGGCCAGCCTGGGCCATCCAAGTCGGGGCATAAAGGTAACAGGACTATATTCAGGGCTATTTTGGGGCAGGGACGCACAGGAATGGAGTTCTGGCTGGCTCCCAAGTTGGCCACGCCCAGCAGGAACTCATTAACATAATAGGCCACACCCAACAGCAGGAACTCATTATGGTTGGCTACAATTAGGGGTGTGTGGCCTAACATGCAAAGGAGTTCCTGCTCCAAAAAAAAGGCCCTGGGTTTTGACAACAAACAAGGTAAAGAGAATAAGAAGTAAAAGGTGGGTGTGGTTGGATGACCACACGTCTGGTAACATGGGGGTGTGGCCTAATATGCTAATGAGCTGTGCTGTCAGGAGTGTGGCCTAATATGCTAATGAGTTCCTGCTGTTGGGTGTGGCCTGTTATGCTAATGAGTTCCTGCTGGGCTTTTCTACAAAAAAGCCCTGACTATATTAAAATGGAATAAACCCTGAAGGCTCTTAAGGAGAGGAGCTGTGTACTGTACCACTCCATGTAGGCTGTATTATCTGCTGGATGTATTATCCTGCCATCACTACCATTATTTTCTACCAATGTAATACCATTTTTCTACATCTAACGACGTTATATCTTTTCTTGCTTTCTGTTTCATGTCTAATATGCTGGGCTTCTTTCAGGTTCCTGCAATCCCAGTCCTAGTACATTGCTTATTAGATATCTCATCCTGTTGACGACACTGAGAAGTGCTTGCCCACTCCAGAACCACTGGTTTCAGGAGGGGTGTTGGAAGACCTGAGTCAGATTGAGGTGATGAGAGAGGAGGTCCTAAAACTGATAGACAACTTAAAAACTGAAAAATCACCAGGCCCAGATGGCATACATCCGAGAGTTCTGAAAGAACTCAAATGTGAACTTGTAGATCTCCTGACAAAGATATGTAATCTTTCCTTAAAATCTGCCTCCATTCCTGAGGATTGGAAGGTAGCTAATGTCACTCCCATCTTTAAAAAGGGTTCCAGAGGAGATCCGGGAAATTACAGGCCAGTCAGTCTGACGTCGATACCGGGTAAATTGGTGGAAACCATTATTAAGGAAAGAATTAGTAGGCACATAGATGAACAAAACCTATTGAGGCAGACTCAGCACGGTTTCTGTAAGGGAAGATCTTGTCTCACTAACCTGTTAGTGTTCTTTGAGGGGGTGAACAAACATGTGGACAAGGGGGATC